TTATGTCATTGACTGCCATGAACTTGGAGACACGTAAACCACAACAGAGATTCCCCAGGAAACCACGGAAGTGGAAGACTCAGGTCTCCTCTGAGGTCAGGTCCCTCCCCCTTCCTTGGCCTGCCATGTGCTGCCCAGCCTGGCTTTTCCCAGGTGGCTCAGCACGGCCTCGGTCAAGGAGCGCTGAGAAGCACTTTATACAGTTACAAATACACACATACACGCACGCGCGCACACAGGTGGGAAATAATCTTTACACTTTTATTTAGTTCTACAGGAAATCTGTACTTGTTTCCTTTTCATGTAAAAAATATCATTTTCCCAACTTCCTTACATCTGCCCTCTATACAAGTTTATTCTTTCTCTATCCTTCTAAAAAATACCATTGGCTTCAGCTTCAATGAGTAGCATTCCTTCTTCCTTCTCTAACAGTATCACTACTTTCTTTCCGTTTCTAGCTCACTCTAATAGACTAAACTCTCTATACTTTTTTTTTTGATTCTCTATCAAAAATGGTGAGATTATAAGAAGGCAAAAACACAATTATTCTCCCCTTTACGTTTTGGTTTTGCAGTTTACTCTTAATAGAAGTATCCACGTGGGGTGACTTGGCAAATGTTAAGTGTCTCGAACTAACTGAAAGCAATAAAAATCCAAAGAAATAGCACTATTATGATCGCTGCTACATTCATAATGTAAAGACTGAAAATCGTTTCTAGTTCATCACGAGCCCAGTAAAGTGAATCAGAACATTTTCTGAAAATGCACTGACTGCCACTTACAGTCATCCATTGTAAAAGTTCATTAATTATGAGGTGATAGTTAAATTTTTATCCCATCTATTTTTTAAAACATTAACCAAAGTGCATTAGAATATGGCAAGTTAAATTAAAAACAGAGAAAAAAAATATCCTGGAGAGAAATTTTGATCATATACATTTTGAGTTAAATTTTCATACTGGCTCATACAATGAAAGGCATCAACTCTAGAGTATCTGGAATTGTTCAGCACAATATATTTTAGAGTTCTACAAATAATAAAGCTTCATCATAATTAGGAAGTTGTATCTTTAACTCAGAAGAACAATGGAGTTAAAAATTACAAGCTGAAATTATATCTGTGTTAGAATATAACAGACTTTTCAAATCATTACGTCATCTCCTACCTGAAGTCGGTTCCTGCTCTTCTACCATTTTCTGGGACCCCAGGATCTGGACACATGTCAGAGACCAAAGCAACACCCCCTTGACTCACTATAATAGAAAGAAACATTGTTATAATTTTGTGTAGCTGTTGGGGAAATATCCAGATAACAAGTTTATATTAGGCAAATTTAGTTCTTAAATTATTATGACTTAAAATGTGATTTCTTTAAGAATTAAGAGAGTTCAGCTACATTAAAATAAACCTTTATTCTTATTCCTAATAAACAAAGACTCCTTATCCAGTGAAAAGATCCCAACATTCTTTAGTTAGAGTCTTAATTCTACTGAAGAGGTCAAAATTTAATTTAAAAAAATGTTCTCATCATGATCAACTTGATGACAGGTTGCAGTTAATAGCATGATGGGAGCAAGAGCAGCATGGCGAAAATGCCTGAGTTTACACAGGAGACGGAGTTCACTCATCCCCCAAGGATGAAACGGAATNAGGAAAACTCAGACAACTGTTCCAAAATTGATCTGAATTCAAATAAGAAAGCTTTGCATTTTGGGATTCATTTATCTACAGTTCTTTATAGGTAATCCTGGAGTTAACATTTAGACTGTCTATGGAAAAAAGATTTCCAAAGAAACTAGAATAATAGCATACATTAAATCAGATGAGGAATATTTCACCAACCTAATAAATGGTACTCTTTTCAAAGGAAAACAGCCCCAAATTACATATAATTACAGTGCTAACTACAAATGAATTTTATCCACTTATATTGACAATGTTGGTCATTAGTTTGGATTATATGTTAGTCATTAGTTTTGATTATAAGAATTTAGATAGAACTGAATTGCCTTTCATTAAAAAGTCTTAAAAAGACCCAAAACAATTAAGAATACCCTCCCTGTTTAAAACACCAACATCTATAGTGAGTTTATTATATGTCAGGCACATTCCCGTGTCACTTCACTTCACGGTCCTGAGGTATCTTTCCATGGCCGTGATCCTCCGGCTTGCATCTAAACACACGTGGACCCTACCGTCACACGGGTGGGGGGTGAGTCAGCAAGTAGAGACCCTGCACTTCTGACACCCACGGCCACCACATGGTCCCAAACGACCAGCAGGGACGACACTGAGGTTGAATTCAGTTGCAATATAGCAAATATCTGAATAGCATGTTTCTTTGTTCATGTGTTCTTTCTCGTTATAATGCCTACAATATTTTTTATGCCGGATAGAGTCAACTCACACATTTAGTGCACCTCTTGTCCATGTTTGGCCCACAGGTCCCTGGAGTGGGAAGTGGGACCTTCCCAGTGGGTCTGACAGTTTTACTGTATAATAACACTAAGACATTACATCCCTCTTCACATGTGTTATTTCCACTGATGGTGCAAAAGCAATGGTGAGCAGAACTGATAGTGACAAACATGAATCAAGGTAATAGCACCATGCACTGGAGAGAGGGTGAGGGGGCGAGAGAGAGAGAGGGAGAGAGAGGCCACTATCACTTAAATTCCTCAACAAAGCAGGAAAAATTATTAATTTTAGTAAGTCTTGACCCTTGAACACATATTGCATCTCTGATCTATGTGGAAAGCACATGTGAAAATTTTAAATCATGAGCTGAATTGTTTTATTTTTGTGAAAAACTTTTTATTTGAAAGAATGACTGATAAGCTATTATGGCTAANAGATCAAAACATGCTGATTTTTATTATTATTATTATTTATTATTAGTTTCCGGTGGACAAAACAATGCAATAGTTACCCTTTTCACCCCTCACAAAAAACATGCTGATCTTTATAATGTCCAAGTGGCTTATTTTTTAACGAAAGGGTACTTGTTGAAATTCTGTGAGAGCACAGAATGAATTAGACAAGCCTGAATGGCTCGCAGATGGCAGATAATATGACGAAAGTGTTGAGAGACGAAAATGCAAAATCTGGCTGATTTTCTGAAAGAGAGACAGGCTTTTAATGGGATAATGACAGGGAAAAAATGGTGACAAACATGTACAAGTAAACAATAAGCTCTGTAAATCCCAACTACCAATTTCACCAGCATCATGAACAATTAATTCCTCTGAAGGCTGAAGCTCTTTAGCTGGAGAGTCATGGAGACCAGGCTGCTTTAAGCAGCCTACCCAGCACCTCAGAAACATTTTCCAGAGAGAGGAAATACTGACTTTAATACCATTTTAACTCTCATTTTGTTGGATTATATATTTTCAAATCTCAGATGACACATGACGCAGATATTAATACATTAAACTTTAGTCAAAGCCTTTGAGATACAATTCAAAGCTGGAAATATTCAGTGGGTCGATTCTGCACCCATCATTAACTAACACGAGAGCAAGATGTAAAATTATGCACGCGGATGGACAGATACACATCAGTGGCAAAAGTCTTTGGATGAATTTTTATTTACAATGTATAAATTATATTAATGTGTTTATATGTACATATGGGTGTATATATATTACATATATACTTTAAATGAGTTTTTCAAAGCACGTTGATGTACAATGACTCATTAGATGCTCACAGGATCTGTAGGTTAGGTATGTAGAGCAGTGAGGAATTTGCTTCTCTCATCAAATTATCCTGCTCTCTGAGGTCATTTCTTCTGATTGTGAATTAAAATTCAACATGAATTTATATGGGGCAAACTGTCCAGCTAGAGTTGTGCTTTAGCAAAGGAAACCCTAAAAAGGACGTGCCAACAACTGCTGTCCAGGACTATAAATGTGTTTTCCCTTCCTCAAGATTTTCGTAATAATGTTTTCTTTTCTCCAGCTCTCTTTATTGTAAGCACACAGTGTATAATACATAGAACATACAGAACATGTGTTAATCGACTGCTTATGCTATTGGTAAGACTTCCGGGCAATCGTAGGCTATTAGTAGTTAGGGTTTGGGGGAGTCAAAAGTTATACTGAAATTTTTGACTGTGTGGGGGTTGGTGCCCCTAAGCCCCTGCATTGTTCCAGTGTCAACACTACTTTGTAATAAAGTAAATTACAGAAAAACAAATTAGTGGAGACAAAATTTACATTAGTAAAATAATCAGAAATAATTAGAAGTGAGGTGCTAAGAATGATATTTACAATGATGATGATGATGTAGAATTAAACATGTAACACAGAGGGTGCCAAAAAATGTATACAATTTTAAGAAAGGAAAAAACTGTATTAAATTGTAATACAATGAATGATGCTAGCATTCATTTGATGAATGCCATCTTTTGAGCAAATGTCATAGTACACATTGCTACATAATTCAATTCAACTTCAAAAAGTAATACATAGATAACATGTCTTAGAATGTGTACACTTTTTTGGCATCCTTGGTATTTGCTAGAAACTCCAAGTATTATTTACATATGTTTTTAAACTGAACCCATTTTACAGGAAGAGAAAATTGAGGCCACAGTTACACCCAGCTGATCCCCAAATCCCAGGCTGCTTCTACATTTGCTGCAATGAGCTAATGAGACATTATATAGTAAAGGAGCTTGTCAGTTAAAGTGACGTTTTTTAAAACTACCATGTTAACTTCTTAATTATGAAATTTAAAAAGCCCTTATTTTATAATAAAAAATACACTGAGCACCAAAAAGTGAAGGGAAAAAAGGTATTTCTCTATATTCCCATATACATGGGGAAGTCGTGTGGTTCAAACCAACGGCCTTTAGTTCAAATGCCAGCAGGTGGCAATTTTCCTGCAGGAAGAGGACCAGACTCACAGTCCACATGTGAGGCCAGCAGCCACCTCTAGAGCATTAGAACTGTACGTTGGCGTGACTATTAAAATTCATTTAAATGCCATTGTTTGAATTAAAATTTAGTTTGTATACCTCAGAATAAACAACCCAAAATTAGAGCCATTTAAATAAACTCACATTTTTAGTGAAATGCTCCTATAATTAACATAGCATATTTTTATTGTTTGTAATTTTTTAGAGCTCTGAATACATGTTTTGGCTGGATCAGTTTTAGGAGTAAGTCTAACCATCTTAAACCTTCAGAGAGGTCACACGTGTTTTCAGTCATTTAACAATCAGGAATGTCCTTAGACAGACACGTTCTGTCTGAAATCCCTTAGTGGCAATATGGCTCTCCCAGTGACCTTTAGATGACAGACACCCCACCCCAGGCATGTGTGTTTAAGGGTCCTGTAAACTTCAGACTTTCCTACTATAATCAGTTTGAAATAAGTCAACAATGATATGTGTTCCTTCCACATTTAAGACTCAGTACTTCTTTACCGAAATGCAAAGCAATATCTAGTTTTCAATGCATTTCCCTTTGCAGATTTGCCAAGAGGTTTTACCTCAGCAAGAATGAAACATATCCACATTACTCCTTCCTCAAAATCCAATAATGTAATTAAATGATTTCAACAATATTTTGCTGTTGTAGTGATTTCTTTCATTTAGCTATAATAGTGTTACTCTGACTTAAGAGAGTATCATATGGGACATTTCTACATGCATAACACATTTTTTGGTACTTTTCTGTTTCAACAGAATAATTGCACAGGGTCTACCAGTAGTTGGTTTTGATCCCAGAATAATAAGCAAATATTTACAAGCTTATAGAAATAGGTAAAACAAAAATGGTTGACATTGAGTGATAAATTCTTATCAACACACCATTAAGGTTTTAAACAAACAGTATACATAGAAATAGATTGTCAAAACCACAGGCTTTGAACTGCATTGTTTTGGGTCCGAGGTTAATGGATCTGGGCTGATAATGAACCAAGCTGCTGGGTTTGCAGCATGTGCAGCCCTCGTGCAAGAGCCCAGGGTGGGGGTCCCGAGCAAGTAACTGAACACAAACCAGCCCTCTCGCTCTCTTGTTTTACTACATACTTTAATTCGCCAACTTTCAAAACACTAATAATTGAATGCCCACTGTCATAATTATCACATCTGAATTTTACCCATCAGCTCTTATTTCCAATTCTACTGCCATTAGTCTTAAATCAAACTCTTAACTTACAGTAATTTATTTTCTAAAATATAGTTTACCTTCTGATAGAATATAATGTAACAAATAGTTTTGAGGAACTCTCAAAAATGTAA